CAGGACAGCCTTGCTAGCAGAATCCCTGGGGCTATTGCTCTGCAGCTTCAAGAGACCCTGTCTTTGGAGCAGACTAATAAATAATGTCTGACCTAAGCCAAACGCTGCAATAGTCTCTGGCCTCTAGGCAGGTATACATCAGGATTCCAGGTAAAGAAATGAAGCAAGATCTATGGTGCCCAGAAATGCTTAAAACACTATGTTTATGGATTAGCTCTTCTGAATACATTGAAGAAACTTGATTTCACATAGTAATAACTAGTTCTACCTTTCAAACATATCAGGAAGGTATGGCTGCGAGGGGTGGACTGTGTAGCAGTCAATGTACGATCTCTGCAGAGAGCTGAAGAGGAGGTAAGATTCTCAAGTCTATCAAACATGTTTCTACCCTTCAAATCAGAAAATTCAGCTGGCTGGATATATAAAACATAGAGACCCTGCCTATGTTTTGAAGCTTATGCAATTGAAACATGTATTTGCTATATTCCACATATCCCTTTGAATTGACTTTTTATGAGCTGCTATGACTCAGGGAGGGCAACATGAGCTTGCTACACTACCTTGTCTTTTACATCTACCTTTCTCTCTTTCCTTGTTCTCACCTAAATCTATGTATTCAGAAGACAAAAAATTTGTCTAACCCTAATCCATAAACCTACTGTCTGGATCAAAGAACTCAATTCTGTGTTAAGTTTCATCTTTCCTTTTCATTGCTTCATTTACATTTTCATCTGCTTGCTTGCACAAGCAAGTTTCCAGAAACAAACTCTTACTACATTTTCCCTTCATCCCCTGCCCAAGGAAATAGAACAGTACTTACCTTGGAAGTTGTTAAAAATTTCTGGATAAGTCCAGAGAACCTCTGCTGTAGACTTGTGAGGCCTGCATACAGTAAGTACACTTAAGCTACTTTTGTTTTGCATTGGCTGAAGATGCCATTCAACATAATTATGTACATTTAAAATTTAAAAGAAATAATTTTATTTCTTTAGCCAAAAATTAGAGGAGCTAAGACAACTCATTTCACATGGCATCATTCCTATGAGCTGAAAGGTAATTTTCAGGGATTGTATATTTGGTAAGAATTTGTGCATCAGTGGGGTAGGGATTTTAATGTGCGGTGCAGCATTTTAGTAGCCAATTGAGATGGCAATTAAGATATAGCATTGTACATTAACATCACTGTTGCTCAGAAAGCGGCTGGTGACTGCTCTTCAGATGATGGTGCTCACTGCATTCTGCTTCTTAGCAATGAGTTTCTTAGTAGCTTGTCCAGTCTCTCTCAAGGAAAATAAAAATCACTTTATCGTTAATATTTCACATTGTTTTCTGCATCCAGGTCCCAAGGACAGAGAGGAGAGTAGAACAGGGAGGGAGGCAGAGGATGAAAGAGCATGCAAGAGAAAATACCCTTGGAAAAAGGTAGTTTCTTGGTTTTCTCTTAATTGACTCACTTTAGCTCAAAAAAAAAAAAAAAGTGGATGTGGTTCACTAACCCTGAATTGTGGAATACAGTTCTTAGGGGAGGATTGTGTAGCAGTATGTAAATAGTAAGATGCTGAAAACTCATAAGATCTTGGGAAATGTCAGAATGTTCAAGAAATAAGGTACGTGTATTACCTGTACGTATTTGAAAACTTATCAGAATTGTGCAATACAATGTTACAGTTTCAGCCCTTGCACTTAAAAGAAGACACATGAAAGCCTAATCAGTTAACTATCCTGCAATTAGTCATTTTCTTTCTTACTTTTTGCTCTGCTCCAATGTGAAAATGTTTTGCTTACTGACAATCAGTGCAGTTCACAAGACATGTCTCTACGTTAGCCCTCCTGAGATTTCAAAAGTCTGCTGGGTTAAACTGCAACGGCTGTAAAAAGACCCTGTATTGCACCTGAACAACCTCACAAAAATGTGGAAATCGTGTGAGAAAGATTTGTGATGTTCGTATTCCATCTGGGTTATAATACTTGTGCAGTGACTTTCAGATTAGGAAATACAATTAGTCCTTCTGCCTGCAACTTTATATCCACAGAAGACGTGGACTAAATTCGCAGATAGCCTTGAATAAGGAAAGATGCAGCTGCAAGAGATTGGGAGAAAGATAAATTCAGAAGCTCCCTGAATAACCTTACTGTGTTCTTATATCTTTGAAATTTTCTTGGGAATGAGCTAAGGCAATTATCTATCTTGTGACTTAGCTTGTGACAATTTGCTTGAAGCAGAGCTACAGAGGATGCTGACTGAGATCAGTAGCTCTGCTTTTCAACTTCTTGTAAATTAATCTTCTGTTGAATAGAAATGTTGGTGAGTTTGTTAGTCAACAGATTCTTAAAAGTAAGATATAGAAACTTCCCAGAAAAAAATATGAACTGCTTAATTTGGAATAAATACATATATATATATACACACATATATGCACATTTTGTATGCATAGTTGCATAAAAAAGGAGCTTGTATCTATGAATGCTCATATTTATTACAAAAACATACAAAAATCTTTAGACTGAAATTACTGCCTATTTCAAACCAAGTTTGAGTATTTATATTTTTTTGCTAAAATTGTTGAAATTTAATTCAAAAGTGGGATTGGTTATGTAGAAGTAAAAATTTCAAGTCTGATATATTTAAGAGGAAATATTTTATAAGTTTCTATCAAAATAAGCATTTCCATGATTCTATGATAGATAGCTGTTCAATATTTAACTTGCTGATGAAGATATTGTTTAGTTGATTATTCATCTGTCTTTTCTAAAATGACAATACCTTCTGTCAGCTGTGTGAAGTCTCTTAGAGTTCTCTGACTTAAGTAGTAATAAGGGGAACAGTTAATATGGTAACATTTTATTTGAATATTTTTACTATTAGTAATAAATGTACCAAGAACTGTCTTTCTCTTAAAATATTTCAACAATGCAGTAATGAAGCTCTTTAAAATGTGATGGATTAATTCAGGGTGAAAAAAAGAATCTACTCCGTAAGGCTCTTCTCTGTGGAAATGTAAATGGATTTTATCCAATTCAGTATCTGTCCTATCCCCATTCGTGTACTGACTGATAGTATTAGCAGGCTAAATTTTAGCTATGTTTTGTAATCAAAACCCCAGGGAGAAAAAACATTGAAATTGTAAAGGTTTGGAATGTTTTTTATTTTATTTATTATTTTTTTTTAATATAATAGTTTTGACTGAATGATTTTTTACAGTTTTTTCTTTTTTAGTAAACAGAAAGTGATGAAACCTTTACATTCTCTGCTGTGTGTCATATTCTGCTGTTTGTCTCATTTAGAAGATCCAGTTCAGATGTACATTTGTTTTTTGCTTTATATTAACTTTAAAGTGCTGGGGAAATAAACCAGCAGTTCAGCATTTTTATGCTGATACGCACCACTAGAGGCCATCATATACCTCCTTAAATATTAGATAAATATGCAAATGATTATAGAGATAATGTGAATACTCGGTGAATGTAAAAGTCTATATGAAAGAACATGGGGAAAATTCTTAATTGAAGCAGGACTTCATCACAAGTTATTAGTATGAGCATTTCTCAGGCCAATTGTAATTGATTCAAAGCACCTGTATTCTCTTCTACATTCCTACAAAACCTTTCAGTACACCACTGAGTTTAAATAATAACTGACATCTGGAAACTGTAACTGTTCCACACAATGTACAGATTTACTATATCAGGAAACTTGGAAAACAGGGCTGGTTTTAGTATGCTTGCATAAAATATTTTTCCCTCATGTTTCTAATCTGAAAAAGTATGTCATTCTCCATCTCACACAGACTTTTGTGAGAGTTGATTGATGAACAGACATTTAGTTACTGTTTCAGGTAAATAAGTAATATGCAATCTAATCTCAGTGATTCAGATTCGAGTTGTGGAAATAAATGGTCTTACAGGTAAGGAATAAGAAGTAACAATTTTAATTTCAAAATTTAAAAATTAGCATTCATTTTACAAAGTCAGAGATGCTACCATAAGACAAAAGTTAAGGGAAAAGAATTATTATTATTATTATTTTATTGTTACAATTGATCTAGATTTTATTTACAATAAATCTGTGCTGTGGCATGGCCCTTGTTCAAGAGATTTCTTCTTGTCCTTTGTTTTTCAATTTTGTGTCTGCAGAGAAACCAGCTCTTCAAAGAAACAGATGTTTTCTTTATGTACAATATTTACAATTTATCTAAACTTTTAATGTGTGCTTGAGAAGGAAATAATTAAAATAAAAATGTATTACCTGCCAGCTTGGTGGGTGATATTTTTTTGAACAAAATTTTGAATGGAGAGAAAAATTACAGATAAATATAAAATACGAGTACTACTAAGTATCTCCACTTGTTTGATAGTATAAGCAACAGTAATCATACACTTTACACTTATTTTTTTTTTAGTAAGACAAAAATAAAATAGCATATATGGACAGGAATGAAATTCACAAGATGTAATAAGTGGTAAAAGAGTTTCCCTTCATTTTGGGGGGGGGGCAATGGAGGATCGGGGAGTTATTGATGGAAGGAGATGGAACTTATTTCTTAATTCCAAAAGAAATTATGAGTGTATATTTATGCTTCAAAAACAGAATGGAAAACTACTAAAGATTATTACGAATGTTTACTAGGTAACCTCAACGATTAGAAAAAATGTCCTGACAAGAACAGCTTGAGACAAGATATATATTGTTCCGCTAGATCTGAAAAAAATAAAAATAAATAAAAAATTAAATTTTACGAAGCTCAGGATTACTGATGAATCTCTTGATAAAATAAACGATATTTTACATGCAACTATTCAGATGTAGCAAAGAAGTGATAGATTTTTTTCAGGGAGGTTAATGTAACTGTGTATTTCGGTGTCGAGTGGCTTCAAAATTGAAGAATAAGAATTGAAAATTTTATAAATGAAATCATTTCACAAATATATATATTTTTTCTCCAGAGAAATTAAAGCTATATTCTATCATATCTTGTTCTTTACCTTACTGTATTCTTTTACAAATATTTATAATATTGTTCATTTTAAACTGTTCTCCCAGGCTGGCATGAAAAACCCGATGTGCCACACACTACTTGGCTTCACCTTCAGATTTTGACTGCTATGAAAAATGAGAGGTTTCTTCCTATGCTCTGTAGTCTGTGGAGAAAGTACATCTATAATCAAGGCCATGTTCCGACTCTGGGGATAAGTAACTTAATAAAACAAATAAAGGTAAGTTTTACAGAAATCTATTGAATTGGGTGTTTAAGAATTTCCATGTCTAGACTACATACTTTCCAAGAGAATCTATGCATGTTCCCCCAGACTGAACAGGAATGGAACTGTAGTACAGATGTTTGACTTGGAGGTATTGTAAGAGCACAGAATGCAGCGCTTTCTTTCTGGGCTTGTAATCTCAGCCAAGATGGTGCAAGTCTTCTGGACTGAAACTGACAAGTCAGCACTCCTTTCCAATGTATCATCTTAAACACTTGTTAATTTAAAGAGGACTGAACCATCCTTCACTGTATGGTGTAGATGTGATTTTGAACATGTTGCTTTTCATCTTTGTGACTCAATTTCCCACCTGGGACAATGTGATAATAATGCTAATGTGTCTCATTATTGTCTTGTCTATTTAAACTGTAAGCTCTTCAGGGTGAGGACTGTCTCATACCATATGTCTTCACAGAGACTGGCAGAATGAGTCACTGATTGCATTTGGGGTCTCTTGGTGCTACTATAATTAAAAGAGAGACAATAATATTAAAAAGGAAGAAAAGGGGAAGGTAGGTCTGGTATCAAGAGACTTTGAAATTTTCTAGTTGCAACCCAAAAGCAAGAGAAAGACTTCTCTCTAAGGAGAGTTCTTCCTTTTTCAACTTTCTCAACTCCAAATGTCATATTGTTTTTTGAGGAAGTACAGTCAAAGCTTTTCAAGCTGGATAATCCAGAAGCTAGTGGGTGGTATACCATTGTAGATGCTAACTGTAAGGGAAGAATTGTTGCTGTGAGCTGCACTAAGGGCTTCAGTTGGAAAACAGATCGAATTTTTAATACAACTTTGCTATAAAATAAGAGCATTGCCTCCTTCCTTGTTAGAAGACAAAAAGATGTTCCTGACAATTTGTACCTACAAGTGGAATAAGGGAAGATGATGTGAGGGAGGCTGTTTCAGGAGTTGCAAGAGCACATCCATTACTAAGAGAGCTATATTCTGTCTGAGTTAATGGGGAGAAGTCTTTCACCTTTGGTCTGTGTAGTAGGATAAGAAGGCTAATGAAAGTTATTCATGGAGGTGCTAGAAATGAGTACTGAAATATTTTTCCACATACTAATAGCTCCTGCTCTACTCTTGCGTTTGTAGTTTCTAAACTCACATTTTATCCAAAAACGTTATGAAGATTTGACTCCAGTACCTGTTTTGTACAGCATCTGAGGACTACTCTACAGGACCAATTTTTTTGCTTCCTTTCAGCACTTAGTCACATATGCTATGTGATTTACACATCACACTTTATATTCCTTACTTAAATCTTCACATTCAACATACTCTGTCTTATCAATGATGATAAAAGCAAGAAACCTTTCTACGTTACAAGAGTGGCTTTTTTACCTGTATTTTTTTTTTTTTTTTTTCTGGAAACTATTTGGTTAGATTTGACTCTTAGAGTTTACAAGAGTGAATTCCATGGATAAACATAAAGTGGGAAGGAAATCAAAGTTGTTTTAAAGGTATTTAGGAATTTCTCTCTACATCCAGTGTTCATCTTGGCACAGAGAGGGCAAAAACACATCACTATTACTTGACTGCACTAATGCAGACTTCAAGACCTGGATGAGAGGACTTCTTGCTCAAGTAAGATGTCTTCTGTTTCTGGCTTATTAACTAGTTATTGCGTGTTTTGTTTTGTTTTTGGTTTTGTTGTTGTTTTTTTTTTTTAACAAACAACAGTAACTAATAATCTTAGTACCTGAGAGAAAACTTAATTCAGTAACAAGAATTTAAATGACCTTTCCATTTCTTTTTGCTAGTGTGTTGAGCTTCATAATTGGAAAGCAATACTTATTGTCTGTCAGCAACTATAAAAATGTTAGTTATACTTCATTTTATTCTTTAACATTTTGATCCAAGTTTGTGCCATTGCCCTCTCAATTAAGTGAGAACTTTAATTGCAGGATATTTAAAATATTTATAGAAAAGTTATATTATTGTATGTAACTTTTCCTGTTGACTTAAGTGGAAAATTACTTTTCTCGTGAAACATATATGTTATGTTTAAGAGGGATCTCTAATGGAGGTATGATTCCTTTGAAAGTGAAGTGGCTCTAATCTGTCCATCCTACTCTTAGCAGTGTTTGGGCAAACTGTAATTCTGCATCCTGTAATAACTTTTCAGCATTTTTTCAGGTTGTGGGAGAGTTTACCAAATCTCTTACTTGTAAGCAGCTGCAGCATTATCCTTGTGATTGTAATTTATTTATCAAATATCGCCATACCTATAGGAATTCATTAGTTTTCATTGTTTCTATTTCATCTATGGATTTTTGGAGGGATAATTGAAAGAAAAAGGCAGATCTTGCAGTGGTGAAACTCAGTGAGAGTCAGCATTGCAAATGATGTCTGTCTCCATACGTTGATGTATTACAGTTCACTTGCTTCTTACTCCAGAAACAAAATATTTCTATTCATTCTAAATGTAATTAATTTCCATTCATCAACCATCCTGTGCCAACCAAAGCATTTTATGATTATTAGTAAATGGCCTCATCATGTGTTCCTTTTTCCATTCTTAACTAATTATTCCAGAAAGAAAACTTTTTACTTGGGAAACATAGTTACCTCCACTGAACAATGTATCTGAAAAATAAAAGCAAAGACCATGTTGAGAGGAGAGAAGGTAGATCCAGTGTATATGAGTTTATAATATCTATCTTTGTATTAACTCTTTGTAAATGGAGTGGTTGTAGAAAGGATAACAACACCTTAGTCACGTTTTTATTCTATATACATATATATACAGGTTTTCTTTGGGTGTTTCATGGCTATTATTCAGGAATTTTATGCATTTCTATTATTAGCTTAATATTAACCTTTTATTCATGACCATAGAAGGTGGATTTATTTTATGGCTGCAGAAATTTAGCAAAGCACAATAATAGTACCAAGACCTCACTGAATTTTCCTAGCGTCTGAAGGTAGTAAATGATACACATTGGATTGGTTAATGTGCAGCTGCAGAAAGTAGTATCAGTTATTTGCTGATTCCTTTTTTAATAATTTATCTCCTTTACTCACTACAGATTGCTATAGTGAATATACTTTTCAAATAGAAAGTGAAGACCAAATTATTCATAAGATCTAAACAAATACTTAAGGTAATTTACTTTTATGAGAATGTCTATTGATTTCTATAGCACTATTTATTATTCTTAAAGGTGATTATTTTGTTGGTCAGGGGCTGTTATAACATAATTCGTATTAAAAGGACCATATTTGTTATGTTTACCTAGTTAGACTTAGTTAAAGTTTAACAGTAAAATTTAGAAGTTTAGCAGGAGAATTCAAATTTCCTTGGCATTTGGAATTCTATGGTTTGTTGGAGATCATCTGTAGAATAAATTTCAATTTTTAAAAAGCTTCTATTATAATGCATGTTTATTTACCCACAACGACCCTCTTTAATATCCATAAGAGCTTAATATCATAATTGCTTTTAATGTCTTGGCCAAATGTGAATTAACAAATCCCTTTGGAAAATGTGATTATCTCCATCCTTATTTGTAGGGTGACCTCTCTCTTTGTGGATTCCAAATCACTTCATTATAATCAAGTCCTATGTAGGTAACACTGCTGGGAAAGTTGTTGTGGGTCTCCTATAGTAACAATAAAAATTAGTAATAGCAATCACTAAAGAAAATAGATTGGTTAGCTTGTTATGTAACCAAGGCACTGATGTTGGATAATTCTTTCTACTTTACCATACTGCATCTACTAAGCTTAACTGCTTAGGCTTATATTTTACTGTATATAATACATTATTTTATACCATACTATATAAAATATATATATCTATTATATAAAATACTTTACCATAATAAACAAACTCTAAAAGCATTTACATCCTATGAGAAAAAAAGTTCCAGAAAAATGCATATGATGAAAAGACAGGACATGAACAGCTTAGCAAAACTCCATCTTTTGGCTTTGAGCTCATTTGATCAAACTTATTTCAGTAACAAATTCTTGATTATAATAATAGACTTCCACTGATCGACTATGAAGCGAGGATATGACCCTTTATGGATCAAGAAATCAAAAATTTCCAAAACAAAAATTATGTTAACATCTTCAATTTCTGTTCTCCTGACTTTCAAACATCCAAGCCAAACCAGCACGAGTAGATTTTTTTTATTTAGAATTGGTATTGGGAGCACAATAATAATAATAATAATAATAATAGTAATAATATTGCATATATGATAATAGTATCATTTAAAGTGTGGTGTCTTTATAAATTGTTCAGACTGGGCTTTAGTACGTTATTACTGTCTTCCCCTTTTCCAACCTGTATGAGCTTTTTGCTCTTGGGAAACCAGGTCTAGCAGATAGCCAGAGGAAGATCCGAGGATTTTCCTTGCTGCAAAAGTGAAGTTCATTCATAACAAAGGTAAGATATGTGCCTGCAGTGAGGTTTTTATGTTGTCTCGGTTGTGTCCAGCCACTAAAAACGTTCAGTGAAAACTACTGAAAACTACTGTTTTGTCACTGTATTATATTAAGGAGCCACATGCCACATTATTATGCCACACATAGTTTAAAAAAATAAAAAGAAAAAGAAAAAAAAGAAAATGACTTGGAAGAGCACTGTCTCCTGGGGTCGAAAGCTGTGGTAAGCAAGAATAACGCTAATGTTACCAAAGCAGTTTATCCAGAAACCATAGCCATTATCTGAATTCTCGACTTCCCTCACACACAGAGTTATTGTTCTCTTTTGTTAAGCATGAATCAGATTTTGTTTTTAACCAGAAATCTCAAAGAAGTATTAAATGAAACTTTGTTAACAAAATCTCATAAAGTATTATTCAGAAGTTATGTAGAAGAGCTTTACTATACTCCATTAGGCAGAGAAATTGTTGAAAGGATATAGTTCATATTCATTTTCCAGCAGTTTCTCTTTTTGTTACAAGACTTTTGCTATTGTCTTCAATAGGAGGAAAACCAGCCTCTGATGAAGTGATGTGTAAAACTGTGGGTACCACACTCCTGAATCACTAGAAATACATTTTATATTAAACTAAATCTGAAGCATGGCATTTCTTATCACATAGGAAATAAAATACATATTAAAAAGGATAGAAGCATGGTTTTGGTACTGAGTGGTTTCCAGATTTTGGGTGGCTTGCCTCTCCACAATGTGGTGTTAGGATGATGCATGTTGAGCACAGAGGAAAGAAGATGAAGAGCTAGGTACTGAAACACTTGTGTCACCTCTGTTAGCCCCCTTGAAGGTGAAGATAGAGCATAGCTTTCCCCAGCTCAGGTGAAAATACCAGTAGTGGGGTGAGTTGAGTGTCCTTTCTTGCGTGTTTTGCTCAGGATTGTATGGAAAGGGAAAGAGGAGGAAAGGATAAAATTGAATGAAACATAGAATGCTTTATCTTCCCTTTTGAAGGATTGGAAACATGGTCTTCGTAAAGTCTTGAAATTACTGGAAGTGCTAAGATCAATGGGCAAACCTGGCAACTTTGAGGAGCGCTGTGTCTAAGAAATGCATGTTCTGCTGAAATGTGTTAAAGCGTGTCTACCATATACTTCAGTAGTGTATAAAGTACTTGTTTCTTTTTTATAATCAGCTAAGTGCTTTATTCAAAACCCTCAGTCTATTACCTTATAAGTTTTTTGGCAAATATTTATGTATATGCCAAATATTTGGCAAAGATTTTTAAGGAAGAAAAAAATACAGTATTTTCCATTAATTTCCATTTTCCCACAGGTCTGAAGTTACCTACTCTTCTTGATGTTCACAATAAGTATACTTCTATCTCCAGCCTGAGGAGAAGAATGACTTTAGGGCCTGTATTTACCAGAATTCTTTATGTGTTTACTTCGTTGTTACTACTCCTGTGCAGAGAAAGGGTGCACGAAAAAAAAAAAAACAAAAATGCTGTACACAGGCAAAGCAACTCCTGTAGCATGCTCCTAGAAGTGAGCCTTTGGGATTGAGACCACACTAGAGGAGATATTCAAGATGAACAGAGGTGCTTTCTCCTCTTGTCTGACTTTGGGCAGAAATAAGACAGAACAAAGATCAGTTTTTAAGAAAATTGAAGAAACTAACAACTTGAATTTAGAAAGAAAGTGATCATCTGTGAACACAGCTAAGGAAGAAGATAGTAGTGTGTACAGACACAGAAGACAAGAACTAGGAGAGTACGTTACCCAGGTTTTTGCTGCATAGCAAGTGTCTTGAAGAGAGGAAGCTTGTAAGACTTTGTTATTGAATATTTAATTTCAAAGTTTCTTGCATTTCATCTCCTATCTAATATCAGATCTGCAAATCTATATAACAATTATTGGTACTCTGGTTTCCAAGATGGCGCAACTCTGACTGCTTTCTTTTCCTTGGAAATTTCATTTATAGTTTCTCCTTTCTTTTGTTCTGTACATACAACTAGGAAAAAAAAAAAAAAAAAGAGACGTTCAGTGTTGACTAAAGAATAAACAAAACTGAAGAGATGGATTTCAGAAGTCTCAGCTTGAAATCAATGGAAAATTGTGAAGTTCTTGATAACATATGGGTGTTCTTTATTCTCATTTAATGGAAATCAGTGTGAAAGAAAAGCCTTGGAACAAGTAGTTGACAGTGCTTCATTTTCATATAAATTATTGCTATTGTCAATGGCTCAAGCAGTGATCAAGACAGAATGTTGAAACTGGGAAGAAGACCAAAAGAGCTAGTAACACTTTTTTATGTGGGAATTGAGATAAATAATAAGAAGTATAATAGGAAGTAGGTTATAATACAGAGATAAAAGGGCAAAAAAAAATGCTGATATTATTGTTTAAATAAATCAGTGATGTCACTATGGTAGTTACAGTATAATTCTTCGTCCTGATACCTACTAATAACTCCTTGCAACATGTTGCCCAATGTTGTGTTTTTAAATGGTATCATAAGCAGTATGTGTATAAATTCTGTACCCAATGAGAACCATTTATTTTACTAAGTTAAAATGAAAGATTAGATTGTTGTAGCAAGAAGAAGAATTGAGTTAGAGCACTCCTTTTTGTTCAAATGAGAGAAACTGCCTAATAGCACCCTTGAACTATTAGTCTGCAAAGGTTTTCTTTGAAGCTGTACAGAGAAAGAAAAAGCACTCATTCTTGATCTCTCTAAAGTTTTAAATGCTTTTCACATATAAAGGCTCATTGTCATTAGGACAGTAACCTTGTCTTATTTCAAATGTGTTATTACAGACAGCTGTGATTTCACAGGTCAGCTGTTACGCAGATGAAAGCTACATAGATGAAAGCTAAGTGGCATTGGTAGGGTTGAAGGTTTAAAGCCTTCGAAGTCCTAAAAAGCAGTTACAGTAGTCAAATAAAACATGCTTAGTGAGACCTGCCTCTTTTTTCCATATATCTTGAGAAAATGTTGGACTACTATACAAGTAGTGCTGCAACATGAAAGTACAAAAAAATCATGTAAGAAATTCTACCTTTCTACTCACTTATTTATGATAGGCCATAGGTGGTATTCCTTAGCATTAACTGATAAGGTTTTTGTCTTTTTTGTCTGTTGCCAGCAATTAGAGATGCCTATCATTTTGTTTTAAGTGTATGACCAAACTAGCCTTCAAAAATAAACTATATCATTTAGTATGTAATCAGCTGGGGGATGGGAAGAGCCCATTAAAGTAAATGAACATCTTGAACTGAAGAATCTTGAACAATGAATTTGTAGGATATTTAGAAGCTTGTTATGAAATCGCTTTCATTACAGGATTCAATTTCTCTACATTACTGAAGTTTAAAGATTTTGTGTTACTTGTCTTTTTTTTTTTTTAATTTGCATTCTGATTTGTTTTGTTTTGTTGTTTTGTTTTTCAAGGACACTTGTTTTTATGTTTTTATAAAGAAAGGCAGATTAATTGTTTAAGTGCAGGCTATCACACTTTAGTTTTCAGGACAAATGTCCAAAATTCAGAAAAATTAAGTAATTTGTACTCAGAATAGGAAAGAAGTACTGCATTTCCCTGGATGACTTCTCTTTACCATCTGAAAATAGGCATCTTTTCAGATTATACATTGATGTTTAATTAACAATATAATATTATTTTGAGTGATGTTGTTTGAACCACTGAATTGTCTCTTTCCTCTTCATAGGAAATTATGAATTGTTATTCTGCACCATCTCTGTGGCTGTTTCATCAGAATACGGACCAGTCTCCAAGCTGTTTGAAGAAGAAGAGCTGTGCCCTGGTTTTTGCCACTTATGTCATAATATACTTGCTACAACGGGCAATTAAGCTTTACCTTAAAAATACATTCCTAATCCATGTATTTATATGAACAAAAGATTAAAAATTTGTAATCACATATTTCCACCACTCATCTCACTAAAAGCAAGCCTTTTAACTAACCAGCAACTTGGCAAATTTTTACTATCTTCTTTTTCCAGGAGGTCTTGAATTAATACCTATCCTCCTGGAAAAACTGATGAGACGCTCCTTGGTGTCAAAAAAAGAAACATACAATGCACAGAGCTTGTACCACAGTGTGGATGGAAATTTGATATGTAACATGAGTTAGAAGGAAAAAAAGAATGTGAGGAAAGTATTAAAATTTTATTTGAAGTTCTGTAGGTCACTAAGTGCAATACATGCTCCTCACACAGTAGAAATATTTTAAAATGCATCAGACTTGAAAAAGGTGAAGAGAGAACTGTTCACCTTTGATACCAGAGGCAGATACCTCTTCCACCTGTAGCACCTATTGGTGTAAGTCTTACTGGGTATGGTTCCTTTTGGTGGAAGCGAAAGGACTTTTTTTTAATGCCAGTCCAGCTTGGAAGCGTAATTCCTTTACTACATGAGAACATCTAGTTCTATGTAATGCCCTTTGTAAGTTGTAGTGGGGTTTTTCCATGTTATTTCAACTGCCAACTGTCAATTTCAACTGGTCATTCTAGTGGGAAGACATGACATCACTGGGAACAGTCCTTTAACATGGCAGTAATTACCAGCATCAGGGATGAACTGTGATTCTGCAAAGCACAGCAAGATGCTCAACAGGAGACTTTCTGGACTTTAACCATGGTAAGAAAAGCTTTGAGTGTAAGTAGATGGGAAAAAGCATTCTTGATTATTTGATGTTTTGGGTATATTCTGCTTGACATGAATGCGTTCTTTTCTTTTTAATCACTGGAAATCAACAACTCAATCATGTATTTATTATTCAAATATTCTATGCTGGTTTTTTAAATTTAATTAATGTGTTAAAAAAAGATCCTTGCACTGCTATTGGCTATGATATACATACGTTATGTTCTATGTGTGAAAATAAAAAAGGTAGAAAAATATTCCCTGAAATATTGCACTGTCGAGCTACTGTCTAGAAAGCTATTAAATTGATCTAAATATTTAGTTATCTAAGAAAGGTCCTAAATGAGTTCCATTCTTGAAAGTGGAATAGCCACTATGCATTCTGTGTTTATTTTTCTCTATGAAGGAATTTTGAAAGACTCAACTAACACTATGAAAATATAACTGGTTTTTGAGTAGTTCTAGGGGAAAAAAAAAAAACACAAGTATAAAAAAAAAAAAAGTGAAGAAGTTCTGTCTGAAGGAAAAAAAAAAAAAAAAAGAAAATGAAAAACAAGATTTTATTGCTCTAATCTACGAGAATAAGCTATGCTGAAGTTAGTCGGAACTTACTTTACCCTCAAACATGCATTAGTATTTCTTAGGAGATTTTATTTCCTTTTTTTGCAACTGTAAATAGTTCTTCTTACTGATGTCATTGACGTCCATCAGAGACTGCGTTTTTTTAAAAACTTTTTGTAGTGTTATTTAACATACTTCCTAGATGATTTTTAAGGTCCTTCTTATTCTACTTTGTTATCATTCTGAAATAATGTTAGGATTCTGCAAAAATAATTCAATGAGTTATCAATTCTACAGATACAGTTATGCAGTCAAGAAATAGTTGAGGAGATAAAAAAAAGAAAAATAATTAAAAAAGAAGAAGGTTAAGGACATAAAGAAAAAGATAGTGGAAATAAACTAGAGTTTAGCGTAAGAGTAGTTCTGTGGGGAAAATTTGAGAAATAGGTGAGACAACTCAGTAGTTATAGAGTCAGTTTCCCGGGTGCTGAAGATAAACATCTATAAAGCTCTACCTAGCTATAAGGTGGATATGGAACAGGCTGAAAAGTATTCATTTTACTAATTCATGGTTTTCATGCCCCTGCTGACTTTCTCAAGGAAATTAAAGAGTCTGAGAACTGACATAAATTATGCTTAAACCTTAGGAGTCAACAGATCTAGACTGAAGAGAACTAGCTTTCATCTGGGTAACAATGGATATTTTCACCTTTGATTATCTCACTGCACCACCCTTTATAAAATGATAGACTTTGCCCAGCAATTGTGACTTCAAATTTTGCAGTCAGACTAGGTCAGTGAAATCTTTTATTCTGATATCTCTTCCATATGAACAGCTCTTTTTTTTTTTTCTTTTTTTCTTTTTTTTTTTTTCTCCCAGTAAGTATCCAGAGCTGTCTACTCTTACTTGGATTACTTATTCATGGTACTGTATTTCTTACACTCAGTAGTGGCTAAAATAAATATTCTGAAGGTGACTTGTGTGTCTAAATGAAAGCATGCATCAGATCCTCATAACGTTTAGGTATGGAGGTTATGCTGTGCATACCTGTATGGGAACTGCTGAGTCATAGCCTGAACTTCTGATTGATCACCTGAGGTGGGCAGTGAGTCCGCCAGAGGAGCACAGGTGAAGGCAATTCCTAGACCTATTGAAGAGCTGGCAACCAGTGGGGAAGGATCTCTTCTGGAGACCTGCTCTGCTGGTGTTTTGTGAGTGAGCCCAGGATAGAGGTATGCCTTCTATTTTTTCTCTTCTGTTATCATCATCTGCTTTGCCTAACTCTCTTGTTTATTTTGTGATTATAACATCCTAATAGTCTTTGATTATACAATACCTAAGAAGCATGTTTTGGAGGAAGAAACAAAAAGGCAGGAGAACAAACCCTAAGCCTTCTTTCTTCTTTCTCTACTTCAGGAACCCTCACGCTTACATTATTCTAATATTTACAGTTCCAGGTCAAAGCAAAAACAATGCATCAACTATTCTGTTGATTGAAACCTAGCAAACTAGTGAAGGTCTTGATAAGATTAAAAATTCAGTCACATATTTACGTGGTCTCAGGTTTATAGGTACACTTAATAAAGTATGTTTGTTTACACTAGAGAGTTTAAGATGGAAAAGCCTCATGACTTACACAAACTGTGAAATATTTCAATTCAAACGTAATTTTTTTCTGAAGATTTTATTTCATTGTGTTCAATCTACTGAAAAAATGTTGCGTTATTGACAGATCATGATCTGATTTTTCTTTCCATCTTGTATAATGCAAAAAATAGAAACTCTCATGAGAATTACTGATGTATTGTTTAAATTACATTTTACTTAATAAGTAGATTAAGTACGGAGAGCTTTGTCTCTTCGTTTTCTCATATATCATAAAAAAATTAAATATGTTTTTACAGGTTGTTCGTATGTTTTGTTTAAATGACCCAAATCTGAATGTAAACTAAGATAGCAGAAATATTCTAAAATTAGCATCAAAGAAAGTGATAGTTAATTATCTGTTCTGCTTCCAAAGGCTTACAAGTAATGGAAAGATCTTTTTTGAATATGATAGTTAAAGAAAGAAGGAAGAAGCTGGAAAACAGCCATACACATGATATAATTCCCTCAAAGACTGGAGGGTGTCCAGACAGGAACATCAAGAGGCTTTTAGTACTGTTAAATTGGAATCAATTTCCCTTGTGGAAGGGGACTAATTCGCAGACAGAAAAGAAAAACAAGCTGCAGTGGAGATTATACCTACTAGGTATGCCATACTTGATTACTGAATTTTTCCATTTCCACCTCTTTTCAAGATGCTACTGCTATGAAATAAAAAATAAATAACTTTAATAAAATAAAATAAATTCTGACTAAAGAATTTCCTCCGAACATCTAACGTGACTCTTAATAGAAAAAGACTTCTAGTTTGTGTAAACAGGATTTATCCTTCAAAATTCTGTTCTCAAAACAAGATTAAAAAAATTAAAACATATTAAAATGAGCAGGCTGACAATATGCAATTGGTGGAGTAGTTTGACATTATTGTCTAGAAGAAATAACTGGGAAATCTGTTTCTATTATAAAACCCATCCGCGGGTAAACCGAAATTATCAGAGACAGGCTACGTAATATTTAATGCTAGGAATGAACTCCATTCGGTTGGAAAATGCCTATCAGCACAGTATTTTGGTGCGTACTGCAATTACGAAGTTAATTTTGCAAATCTCATAAGCTGAGCACTTTGAAGATTCCTTTTTACAATCCTTAAATACTGGTTCTAATAACGTTATGAGTATATTGAACAACTTTATTAAACTCAAATTATTCTTTAAAAAATACTTTGTGGACCGTTACTACTTTTCTGCCACTAAGAAGTAAATCTAAGGGTAAAAACAAGAAAACTTTGAAGGAAGCCACTGCCATTTAAAATGAATGATACGTTTCTGAATCTTAGGGTTTCTTTTATCCTCTTCCTGTTTCATGCAATACATAATGGTTTAGAAATATCTGTTATTCTGATTGTTAATTCTCAAAAGAATCGAAAAACACTGAAAGGTCTTGGTAGTAAGCAAGATATTATTCTGGTATTCTGTCCTTGGAAAGGAGATGAGGTTTTGTTTTGTTTTGTTTTTTTAAATAACAAAAAAAAAACACACAGGCAAGTAAGGTGGACAGAAGTCTAGGAAATCAGTTTTAGCAGTGACCCATCTCAAATCTGTTCCTACTGTAAAGGAAGCCACAATAACTGAAACTGGGTGATGAGACCTAGGGCTGAACTTCATCTGTGCACAGAAACGTTGTTTAGTTTAGCTGTTCTTCAGGAAGCATTTTCAAGATTTTTATCATATATAGGGATAGAAAAGTATCCAGGTTAAGAAATAGGTAAGCCTGAATATGATCTCTAACTCTATGCTAAAAAATAATATTTTTTTTTTTTTTAACTGATATCATTGTCAAGTACTGACTGAAGAAAAATATCAGTATTTGTATAGGAATTAACTCCATTATAATCAGCAGAATTAAAAATGAATTTTAAGAAGACATTATTCTAAGTGATATGAGAGTATTACTAAATTGAAATAACTACTTGAATATATTATACATCTGCATTCACTTTCATTGGAATTCCACTGCTAGAAGCAATAAATTTTTTTGAGTTATTATGCCTTGCCTTAGAGTATGTAAGATGGAGGACGATAGCGTCTCAAGCGTATTTATCTCAACAATAGAATTTACGAGGATACTTGAAATGCCGTATAAAGGACGTACAAAGGAGCTTTGAAGGTTTTCTTCCTAATGTAAGCGTGGCCCAGAAAACTAACTACTGAAGCACTTACAAGCTGCACAGGATTCAAAGCTTCAGATTTCATTTTCAGATAGAACTGTCTATAACTGACCAGAGATGTTTCAGTAAAATATATTTTGGAAAACATTTCTTTTATACTGATTTTTATTAATCATAGGGAGATTTTTGAAGAAAGATACAAGTAAGAAGGGGAAGGTATTGAAACAGCCTCTTGCATAGAGATCAGTTTGTAAAATAAAAAGCAAGAGCCTGCTTTTGGACAAGGCAGAGCATCTGAGTTTAGCATAACTCATATAGATACTGAAATCCAAAGGTTTTTTATAGGGTTGCTTTTTCAATTTGAGTGAGTGGATGCACAAGCGTAATGGATCTCATTAAAAAGCATGAGAATAAGACCAAAGCTCAGTAAATGTCAGTATACACTGGGTCAGCATAATCTGGATTAAGTTAAAAACAACTCTTTTTCGGGCATATATTATGAACTCCAGGCAAATAGGATTATTTCCCAGAGTTTTAAAAGAATTATTTGTTTGTTCCCATCTAATAAACTATGAATCCAAATTGCAGTGTTTTCTATTCTGCTTTCTGTGAAACAAAGGAGTATGATGCCTCATTCACTTGGCTATAAATCAAAAATGTCTACCTATGCTTAAAGCATGGTTTCTGATAATCTTTTCTGGAAATAATAGATATAGCACATGAAACTCTTTTTGATGACGGACCCTAATCCATGAAGACCTCATTCACATCCAAGAAAGAAGCAGAGGTGGTCTTATTCTGTTTCTGATCACATGGAGAAATATTATATGATATGAATAAAATATCTTGCTACTGCACTTTGCGAGACCCTCTGAACATGCTGTTATGTATAGCTTAGAATAGCAGAATTACACAGAATAAGTTGAGTAAATATTTTCTTGAACTGATAGATTGATGATTCTTCCTTTGGAATGTTAGAGAAAGGCTGTTACTAAATGTTTCTGCTGACTGTGCATGCTATATGCAGCCAGAAAATAACTGAATGTTAACGAAATGGGGGGTTATTAGACAGGTATTTAAACAAATACCAGAAGCTGTTACTTTTCCAAAACAAGTATGATTACAGACTGGTTTTCCACTGCTTCTTCAAATGCTGTTTTATTTTCTCTCTCTCTCTCTCTCTCTCACACACACACAATCAATGCAACAGGGTATGGAAATTTAATTCCACTTTTTGCTTTGTAATTTAAGTTTGGTTGAGTACGGAACACAATTACTTAGATTACAAAAGAAATGCAATCTTCTATACTAAATGAATTTTAATTTAGTTGTACCCAAAATGATGTTCTTCACACTTAAAAAAAGGCAAATTTTTAAATACTTTCAGCTCATTATTTTCATTTAAGAATTTAATTACAGGTTTTGTCAGGTGGAAGTATTCGTTTCTGACAGAATCTTTCTTTAGTGTAAGCCTAATTTTCATTCTCACAGCAAAAGTAGACACCAATGCATGCTGTCCCAAATCAAGATGCAAATGAGATAAACTAGGAAATAAGACGAAATCAAATCAATTTTTCTCTATTAGAATCAAAAGTAAATTAGCTGTAGAAGTTGTAAAAACTAAAGTAATAGTTAAAACAAGTGTTCTGAACAAACAAACAACCAAAAAAGAATCAATTTTAACTTGGTTACGGAAATAAACTTTTCCTGTTGGCGTTTTTACATGCAGAAGATAGTATCTGTCCAAGTTCCAGAGCAGTAACCAAGCACTCCACATCACTAGAAAGATAAAGACAAAAATAGTGAAAATTCATTGGAAAATTACTTTTGCAGAACTGAAATTCTTTATACAGCCCAATATAAACGTCATTAAGATTTACTGTTTACTTGAAAGTCTTTCACATTTTCAAAAATTAAAAAAAATCTTGAGATGAAGAAGAAATAACATAGAAATCTAGTTTATTTTTCCTCTTTTTTCTCCCCTCTTTTTCTCTTTCTCCAGTTTTTCTGACTTTCTTCCAACTTTCTTAATTTATTCTGTGTAATTTGAGGATATTAAGCAACACTTTTTTCCTCTCCTCCCCCTTACCTATGGTGCTCATTTTCTCTATCTAAATTAAATTCTGCTAGCTGACTGTCTTTCTTACCTGTGGTTTATACCTCTAGTCATTCAGAACAGTTCCAGTTTCATAACTTCTTTCATTGCATTTGCAGCAATAAGTCTTCTTCCTGGCTTATGTCCAAGCATGTTGGTCTAAAATACCATGTGCCACCAAGGGCAGAAACCAGAAACATGGTAGAACAGATCTGCCTTTAAGTAAACTAATTGCTGCTTAGCTACAAGTTTGGATAGATGACTTAAGACTGTGTAAGAGCTTGTTATAATGCTGTGATGATGAGAGTTTGAACTTCTGGTAAGCTGTGATGTATGTTAGGGATATATTCCATTATTTGATGTTC